GCAGTGCGAGGATTTCGAGGATCAAGCTCCAGATCTCGAGCAAGGCAAGCCACCTTTGAACATCTTGAGCCTATATTTGAAATTTAATTATGTTGCTTGAAAAATATTATGCATTACTAGGATCGCACTTAATCTGTTTGTCCCGTCTGCAAGGCAGATTGGCGGACCTACCTAGTTTGTTGCATTTGATCCTTCCCTTGTTAATTGTTATATCATGTCCCCTTGTAACCATCTAGTTGCGTCTCGATATTCGCGCACCCTGTGCGAGTATCGACGGACGCCTTCAAACTTAAAATCTGAATAACAACTTGGGTAAAACTTGGGTTTTACAAAAGACTTGGAAAACCCGACACTGAGGTCGGTGCTTGCGAACTAAATGAATTTCCAAAACCACGGACCGGGGAACGTACCGGGTGTACGGTTTCCCGCTCTCGCACTTAAGGACCGATTCCTTAGAATTTCATCCAAACATAAGTCAAGTACGACCACATGGGTGGAATGTGACACCCCTGGCTGAGTAACTAGCTTATCAGGGGAGCCTTGATGCCGAGAGACATGTGGATTCGCCGGGGTGGTGTCGGGGAGGACCCCTGGGCTTCCTGGCACAGTATGGTCTGGGACCTAACCTGTTGTTGGTCTGGGACCCCTCTCGTCGGCATATGGTAAACCTGTGTCGGCTTTGGAAATGCCTTGTCATGAAAGCTTGGAGGTCTCCCGACGTGGCTGATCCCCATGGGCTGGGTGATCCGGGTTAGTAATGTCGTGTGGGTAAAGTGTACCCCCTCTGTAGAGGTTAACAAACTGTTCGAACAGCCGTGCCCACGATCATGGGCGGATGTGAGGTGATTCCTAACGTAGTTTTGTTTGACTACTGCTTGTGAAATTGCTGTTGTGGAAAGGAGTTCGATGTCTGAAAAATCTGCAGCTGATGGGATCAGCTAGGCCCGGGTGGCCGTTTGAAAAGTTGTTGGCCCGGGTGGCCGTTTGAAAAGCTGTTGGCCGGGTGCCAACCTTGATTCAATTCTAAAGACTGATACATTGCACATACTCCGACCGGACGAGACGCACTATCTCATCCGTGTCGTTTGAGAAGCACTCACTTAGTTGTTTTTAGAAAAGAGTTCAAATAAAATCAATTGCAAAAACAACAGCCTTTCCTCGAAGCCTGCATTAAACACTTATTTCCCTTGGCTTGCTGAGTACTCCCGTACTCACCCTTGCTCTATATAAATAATCTCCCCCCCAGTTGCTGAAGAAGATGAAGCGGATCCTGCTGATGAGGAGTTCTTCCAGGAGCAAGCCGGCTACGATGAGTTTTAGGGTTTCGGCCTAGTTCCCAAGTCGCGCCTGTGTTGTTTGGTCCAAGTCCCGGCTTCCGTTTCCCTTTTGTAATGCAGTTGTGAGCTCGGGATCTGTCCGCAGCCCAACATGACTGTACCTCTACTCTATAATAAAGAGACCTCTGTTGCTGTGGTATTCTGTCTCCCTGTGATACCAGCACTGTTTCCTGGGACTGGTATCGAATAACAGGTTAATTTGGAGCGTCACGGGCTAGTCCCGGTCGGGACTAGTTCGGGGCGTGACATTTAGTCAAAACTAAAAGTAACTTATATATATATGATAAAAGTAACTTACATATATAATAAAAGTAATTTATAAATATAAATATTTTTTCATCGTAATATAATCATGTAATATCTTGTTGTGAAGATTTAATTGTAACGAACACAATAATGTAATTGTATTGTAGATCGGATAAGTAATTTGAGAGAAAACTTTGTTTGAAGAAGAAAATAACATACATGTGATGTAGTAGACTTCTCAAAAAAAAATGCATGCATGTAGTACACTATAGTAGATTTCTCCACACGTTCTGGCATCGCTGGTTAAGGCAAAAACGAGAGGACTCTCTAAATAGATTTTACGGTTATAAATACATGCAACTAGTACTTTGTTAGTTACATGTATTTTAGTAAACAAACAGGTTTTCTTAGTATAATAGGCAAACTACTCCCTCAATCCCAAAATTAAAACATCCCTCACATATACATATATAGAAATTAAATAGTATTAACAGGTTGATAGATAAGAGGTATTAAAATGAAACTACTTAAAAAATATCACGGATGACCCTTATAGAGATCATGGCTGGGTCGTGAGAAGGCCTGCCTGTGATAAGTTCGGTCTTTGGGGGAGGAGGCACAAGCCACGTGTGTAAAGGAATTATCACAGGTGGTCCTTAAAGAGAGGCGGCTGAGTAAGGCAAGCAGTTATGTGAAAATTGTTTTCACATGCAGATTACTTTGCATAGCTGCATGCGACAGTAATCTTCGCAGGTGGGTGGGTAATGCGGCCTATCTTAGATAATTGGTTTTCATATGCGGTCGGACGATCCGTCTAAGAAAATTGCCATTTCCATACATACTTGCTCTTACGGACCGATTGGCTATCTGCGAAAATGGAATATATACTCCCTCCATCCTTAAATATTTAACGCCGTTAACTTTTTTAAACATGTTTGTCCATTCGTCTTATTCAAAAAATTTAAGCAATTATTAATTCTTTTCCTACCATTTAATTTATTGTTAAATATACTTTTATGTATACATATAGTTTTATATATTTCACAAAAGTTTTTGAATAAGACGAACGGTCAAACATATTTTAAAAAGTCAATGGCGTCAAACATTTAGGGAAGGAGGGAGTATATAGTAGCGGGGATAAATCTTCTTATTTGTAGACAGTCACATAGATAGATAAGACAAAAGAAATTAATTTATTTTAAGATAAGAGTAAATTAAAATCTAGAAATCTTTATTTAGGGACGAATGAAGTATGTGACTTACATTTTTATACGGGTCTTCTGTGTGCTAGCTGATCAAATTTAGTCACACACACGGTCGCATATCATTATCGTGATATGATCGATGATCGTTGACCAAGCTGTTAGCTGTTGACTATATATACTTATATATCCCTGCAGGCTAATTGTGAGGCCTATATCCATCAAAAAAGAAATAGTGAGGCCTACACATACCAGAACCACTATAAATTTGGCATGTTCGCTAATAATCAACGTGCGTGGATTGACCCATCTAAAACTCATGGTATTAATTTGAGCTATAATTAACTTTTCCTCAGGACGAGAAGTTGCAAAAACTGATAATATTCAAGTCACCGGCACTTTAGTCACACCTCTCAGGTGCAACTTTAACCGCTTTATTTTAGGACAAACCATGCATCTGTCAGTCGAAATTTCACATCAGACTCCGTCAAGAAAGAACCTGTACTACGCATGCAGTACGCGCCTCACGGTTGACATATATGCACGCATATATACTCCCTCCGTCCCTTAATATAAGTGATTTTGACTTTTTTATTTACACTGTTTGATTATTTGTCTTATTAAAAAAATTAAAATTATTATATATTTATTTGTGACTTACTTTATCATCCAAAATACTTTAAACATAATTTTTTTGTTTTTTATATTTTTATAATTTTTTTAAATAAAACGAATGGTTAAACAGTGTAAGGAAAATGTCAGGGAGTGTGCGTGCATGAGAAGACAAGAAGTTCAGTACCATTAGCAGCTTGTAGTTTATACATGTACGGGTGTGTTCTTTCCTGCGGAATAACTGAATAGATGGATGATTTATGATAGTTATTTAAAATATATAATGAATTAGCTATTATATAGTTGAGAAATAGATTTAAATCAATATCCCAAGAATTTCATATATAAAAGCTTTTTACAAACTTCCCATCATCTAGGAATTCAGAAAACGTGCACATTCATTGCATCCGCTAAGAAAAAGAAAAAGAATGCTGAATCCATCTAGAAGTGGACCGGTTGCTCTAACTTGGTGAGCTACACATGGAACCACGGGCCTCTCCTAGTCACCTCTCGTAGTGGAGGTCGCAGTACCGTCAGGATCGAGTAGCTACAAGTTTTACTACATGCCTGGACGTCCAACTCAACGGAACAAATAATATGGCAACTCAGGAAGGCTGCAGCTGAGACCGGCGATATATACATCGTCGACCGACCGAACGAGCAAGCCAATGGCTATGTGTGAAGGAGCTTACGTTTTCAAGAAGCAGCTGATAAAAAGCTAGCTGGTGAAGGTTCTGGTTTCTAATTCATTTTCTATATTCTACAACTATAACTTCTTAGGGTGTGTTCGACACCACATGTTCCCAACTCCTCTCCCTCGTGTTCCGCGCGCACGCTTTTCAAACCGCTAAATGGTGTGTTTTTTTGCAAAAAGTTTCTATACGAAAGTTGTTTAAAAAAATCATATTGATTCATTTTTGAAAAAAAAGCTAATGCTTAATTAATCATGCGCTGAAAGGACCGCTCCGTTTTTCATGCGTCGGAGATTGGTTCCCATCTCCTTCGTACGAACGCAGCCTTAGTATTTAAGTGAAAATATAGACTATTTGAGGTATTGGTTCCCATCTCCTTCATACGAACGCAGTCTTAGTATTTATAAGTGAAAATCTAGATTATTTGAGGTAGCTTCTTGTAACCGAAAATTTTTAGGACAAGCTGGAACTTTTTAAACGACCCAATGGCAAACTCGAGTCCACAGCGCATGCGCGATACATGCATGCATTGATGCATGTGCTGATGTGTGGCGTACTGGCGTGTGAAGGTCCGGCCCGGTCGATGCGTGGTGTCACTGGTTGGACTAGTTGCTATAGCGATCGAGTAGTTAATTCAGAGAGACCAGACTTTGGTAGGCGAGAAGGCGGCAGGCCAGCTAAAATCTATCTACCTCAAACGGATCAGACACGACAAGAGCCGACGGCGACGGCCGGAGACCACCACTCCGGCAGGGCCGTCGTTGAGGCCCAATACCTCAAGTCCTAGGTAGATCCGGCGGCCCAATCCATAAGGACTTGGGCTTGGGCTGGAGTAACACAACACTGGGCCTTAGATGATTAATTTCACTGCCTAATTCATTTCCCAAATCCAATTGCCAGAAAAGAACATATGCACACAATTTAGGTGGTCTCATTGGCTCCTAGCTTTTGTGTTCATAGTCTCTTTTGCTTTGCACCAAACTTTTTTTTTCCTTTTTTGCTTAGAGCTAACCCTTCATTCAATTCAAGAGCCATTGGAACATAGCAAGTGATCGAGCCGCCCCAGTTTCCAACTTTCTGCCATCTTTTTTTTTCCTAGTGATGTTCCTTTCTCAATATCATAATGATAGAACATTACATTCGCTCTCTCTCTCTCTCTCTCTCTCTCTCCACCTTGCTACTGGCAGAAATGCAGAATTTGTACCCTCCTGGAGAAGAGGTCTCAGAAACCGGAGAATTGATTTTGCTGAGATTGCTGAATAACCTGAAATTCAGTTCCTGTAGGGCTGACATTCTCTGTCGCAATGAAGTTTCTGCGGGATGAAAAATGCAGCAAACCAGATCAGATGCGATGCAAAAAAGAAAAGGATGAAATGAGGCATGACTCATGGGTGTTCTGTCGGGCGAATAAAGAGAAACTGTTTACTTACTCGCGAGGACGTGAAGCCCAGAGGGAGCTGAGAGCACGGAGACGGCGATTATACTCTCCAATGGAAAGAAAACACCGAGCTGTCTGTCTGGTTGTGAGAATTCGCCGCATGTGGTGCAACGTTTCCTGCCTCAGATTATCAGCCTTCGCTTGCAAATGGCATATGGGGGAGAAAGAGATATTAGATCAGTTTACATATGTGGATATGGCAATGGTAGCATGATAATAAGAGGCTCAATACAATGTTGCATATTGTAAAATTAGATATTATTTCGTACATATCTGAAGAGGGGAATCAGAAAATAAGTGGGGGCAATTGGAGGTCCTAATCACCTTTTATTCGAATTTTTAAAGGACAGAGAACAGAACAAATAGAAAGACAGAACTGCCTATTTAATACTCCTTTGATGACGCAGGTTCATACTAGTTTAATTGAAGGAACCTCTGAGTCATCTCCAAGTGCTGAAGTTCAGGCATTGTGTCCTTTTCTTTCCTTTACTACGACTGATGAATTGAACAGATAGGCATCCATAATACAACTTTTCATACATATGTTTGTGTATCTGGCTATGTTTTAAACAAGAAATATGACCAGAAAAAGGAGTATAGCCCACAGAATAATTTCTACAAGCCAAGGTGACCAATAATACCTACTTTGGCTTTATATTAGAAAGTGATATGTGTTTATGCATACGGGAGACATTTGTTTTACGTGATAAGATTTAACACCAAACAATTAGCACCATACATATTTCTAGTAAAATAGAAGAGATAGAACTACATTTTTTTTAAAAAAAAAGAGGAACATATTAATATATTTGTACTTCCTTAATAATTTTAAGCTTTGGATAGTACAGTTTTATCTTACTGATTATCGCTCCGCACATTGAAAGCAGTAAATTTTCTGTGTATTTCAGAAAATGGTTAATCATCCTGCAAGCAACGATGGTGACAGCAAGGATGTACGGACTAGGAAGAAGAGGAAATACTGACCTGACGATAAAAGCTCTCGAGGTTCTCAAGCCTGCCAAGTGCTAGGGCCATGAGGCCGGTGTAGTTGGCAACATCTGCGCCGTCGTTGAGAGGACCGCCGCCCACCGCGTCGGCCAGTGACTGGTGCAGCTGGTGAAGCCCCTGCGCGAGCGCCTCCTCGGTCTGCTCCGACGACTGCTGCAGGCTGCACATCCCCATCAGCTGCTGCTCCGTCAGTGGATCGAGCTGAGGTATCAGCATCTGGTGAAAAAGGCAAATCATAGACAAAAAAAAAAAAGGCCAAGAATTTAGCATGCCTTAATAATCGTGCGTGTCTTACTGAAAAAAAAAATTATGTTGTGTGTCTACTTTGAGAATTTCTGATGGCCGGAAACCGGCCATCCAGAGGAAGCACCGCTCGGCCGGCGCCGCCCACATGCCAGTCATCAGGTGGAACACGTCGGAGCTGGCGAGCACGGCCCTAAGGTGGAAGAGCTCGTCGTAGTGGCGCATGCATTCTTCCACAATGGCACCAAGGTTTCCGTCGGGGAGCTGGGCCTGTAGCGCGCCCTGGAGCTCTGCCATGCATTTGCTGTCGTCGTCTATCCATCGGGTGTAATCCATGTCAAACATTACAGCACCTGCAAAGGTGAAAAACGCAAACCCGAGTTGTTCAACCAAAATCTGTTTTAACGTCGTGAAGCTGGTAATTGCTAGTGTACGGATGAGATGTGGTTACCCGAGCTCATATCTCCAGGTGCACTGCATCCTCCAGGAAACAAGCCCTGCAATAATTGGAGTTTCATAGCATAAGACCATAAGCTAACCTTTTGTAAGTATAGTATTATTAGACGTTGCAATCTTGTGAGGCTTCCGGAGAGTTGGAACCTGTGAGCGTGCTCTCTGAAGCTCTTGCTCGATTTGCTGAAGCCTTATGCGGCTAGTCTCAAGTTGCTGCACATAAGCCTGCAACATATGTGTAAATTCTTTGTCAAACATAGTTTCTTTTTCCTTATAAAAAAAACTTAACTTTGCTATGATTTTGTTTCAAACCTTTTTCCTCAGCCTGCTCTTTCTTGCAGCTTCTCTGTTCTGAGCCAATCGCCTTTCAGTCTGAGGGTATGGAACTGTACAGGTTAGATTATGGTACAAATGCAGGGCCAAACAAGGCATAACTCTGACACCAAATACAATCACACCTTGGCATCTAACAGTTTTCCGTCTTTTCTAGTGGATCCATGCTTCCTCTGCACCAAGCACACCAAGGGTAGTTAGAACAGTGTGAAATGCTAGATATACAGTGAGAAACCTTTTCCGACATACTATATTGGAGCTAAAACTCCTGTTCAGTTTTACTATACTACCTTTTCACAACTGTTTACCTGTTTCTTCCTTCTAGTAGTATAACAAGAGTAACCATTTCTAAAATATTGATGCATGAGCTATGTTGATTTGCTTCGTTTTCTCTTTCCAAAAGTTGCAGCTCATGGATAAAATCATACCGCTTACATCCATCATGGCCAAGAGAGAGGATCCACCGAACCATTAGGACCGCCTGGATCATCATCATTGGGGGTTTGCCATGGACCATGCTTAACATATGCTATTGCCTACTCTCTAATTGTAATACTATGTTCCTTTTAAGAACAACATGAATGCTCTATTCATGAGCTAAAAAGGCTGAAGCCAAATTAAAGCTTCTACAATCAAATCGTGGTAGCCGAATCCAAAGGAAACAAACAAGAGCTCCAGTTTGCATTGGTTCAATACACGAAGACGACAAGATTGACAAAGTATCAGAATGTCACTGTTACCATGTCTAGGCCTCCTGCATGTTGCTGAAAGCTTGGTGCAGTAGCTATTGCTGCTCCAAGTCCTTGTTTGTAGTTGTAATCATCAATGGTCACCATCAATACCTCCTGTTGTTGCTGTTCCTGCCCAGAGTCGGACCTCATGCTCGCTGGGGACACCAACTCGGCCTGTGACATTGTGTTCTGAGCTGAGCTAGAGTCAGTGGTGCTCCCTACTGACTGCGAGTTCTGCTATAAAGCAATTAATCAAAGAAACAAGAGGAGCAGACAGTGAGCAGCTAATTAAGCAAGAACACTTTTTTTCTGTTGCAGTCAGTAAGAAACTGTAGGAGACTGTTACTGATCAAGAGAAGCAGTGCTTACACTGTATGGCTCCTGTAGATGACTCATTGGCCATGAAGGGAAGATTTCCAGTGTGGGGGGCCTAGCTGCAAGATATCCTGCTGCTGCATACATACAAATGGAATTAAAGGCCTTGTCAATCGCTCTCTTTTCCTCAAGAGGTTGCAAAAATGTAGACAAAGAAAGAAGACAGAAGCAAGATGTAGGGGAGTTGTGGGATCACACCATTTATGCTGCCTCCTAGTTACATGTATGTAACCAGTGTTCATGACTGTGTATGGCAAGGAAAAAGGCAAGACAAGCTGTGCCTATCTATATGTGGTGCTGTTGGGAGCGAAGAAAAGAAAGAACCTTTCTGTAGGTGGTTAAGGTTTGGAGAAAGAGAAAGATAAGAGGTGTAGAGAAAAGGCAGTCTTACACTCTGTGTACGCGTCACTTTGGATCATGCCATGATCGACACCAGCACCAGCACTGGTGCCATGGATAAGGGCCTTCTCCAACTCACCAAAGTAAGCAGCAGCTGCAGGTTGCAACTCCCTGGACCAAGCAGTAGAGCACAGCATTCAACACCTGTGGTAGTCAATAGCCATATGCAATATATGGACGAACAGATAAAAACTGAACTTTTCAGGAATGTAAAGGCAAGCACTGAGGGTGTGAGCCTCTGAGGTTAGAGGAAGGCAGATAAGGATGAGAGCTAAAAAGGATATGTAGGATGAGGGTAAGCAAATCACTTACAGGATCCAGGCCTTAGGCATTAAGAAACTATTTGGATTGCGAGAAGAGGTGTAATCCAATGAGCGGTAGCTTGGATATATATATATATAGCAGGGGAGTTAGTTATAAAGATAGTTAAAAAGAGGCAAGGAGAAACGATACTTTAAAGCAACTGCAGGGCTTGAAAACTACTAGTGCCTAGTTGAAAAAGAACTTTAGCTGTGTTGTCTTTGCATGTACTATTAGTTGAAAGAGAAGAACAGTGTAGATAGGGAGATGGAGACTAGAGAGGGAAGCGGCAGTACAGGAAGTTGGCAGGTGGTGCAGCAAGAACAGCATGGCCTTGGATTCCATATGCAACCGCTTGGCTGTGTGGTACTGCTCTATCATGATCATTTGCCATCCTCCAAGAACTCCCCTCACCTTGCACCATGCCAATGAGCACAACTCTCAACTTTACAAAGAAGAGGCTAGTAGCAGCAGTAGAGACTAGTGAACTAGGTTCACACATGCATGCACCATGCATTCAAGTGTGCTAGTATACTCAAGAGAAGGGAGATGGAGGAAGGGAAGAGCATATATAAGTACCACATGATAGGATGTTGCTTCGTTTCCTGTTTGTCTTCTCCCACACTGGCAAATCGAATCCCCCTTGGAGTTTCATCTACTACTGTACCACAAAGAAGATTTTGTGTCCTTTTGAACATGCCCTACGAGCCTGCCTCTCTATCTTTTCAGTTTTCACAGGCTACACTGAGAGAGAAAGAAGTGAGATGTGTGATAGCCTAGCTAGTAGCGTTGTAGGCCTTTTCTCTGTCAGGATTTCTGTCTCCTACTCTACCGCTTGTAACCACCTTTCATTTCTCGCTGGCTGCCCTCTCTGGCCTTCCCTCTGAGACAGCAAGTACTCTCAGCAAAATGATCATTGAAGAAAGGAAAGGAAGAGAGGGGGGGGGGGGGGGATGAGAGGCCTAGGAGCTTGCTTCCTTTTCCTAAGAACAAATTGTCCATGAGGATCCATGCATCTCCACCTTGTCATGCACCAAATACTGAAGTTTTTCCTGTCAAAAGGAAGCTTCATTCCAGAATGGCCTTGTTTCTCTGTTTGGAAATGCTATGGATCACTATCGATTATGAGAATATGTGTAGTGACCAAGTTGCCTCTTAATTAACTTATTAGTGCTTGACCTTTTGGATAAAGTAGGGCCTCGAGTATATATATGAGAGATAGTGTGGTGCGGTGAAACGAAGATGCATTTATACTCACTGGAAAGCTCCTGACTCGTGAGGTCTTCGCAGATTTGCTGAATCCTTTGGCTACAGAGGCCAGTAGAGATCATTTACTACGATTTCTTTGCTTCCACCCTCTGACTCTTGTATTGGAGTCCAATGCGGCTCTGGGAAAAGGAGAATATTTGCAAAGAAGAAAAAACATATTTGTGGATAATGATGAATAACCTGAGCATAATAACAGCAAATGTATAATGCAGACCAGCCAATTGTGTTCAGACACAATACTTTTGATATTTAAATACAGCATAAGAGGTGGTAAACTTTTGTAAAGTTCTATAGATTCCCAAACACTTCCAGCCAAAATTTCTCATGGACATACCTAAGTACCTAACAATGTGCATGTGTATCTATGCACAAAGATAAGATATTCTTTTCGACAAAAAGGTAACACAAGAGATCAAACCTTGCATCTTAACCATTTCACTTCACACGAAGTTGTAGAAATTTGAAGTTCATCTCAGCCTGTAAACTGCATTGATATCTGGACACTGGTAGATCAACATTACTGAAACTGAAGTTGTGGGCGTTAAGATCGGAATATGATTTTAGAAAGCCAACACAATCCTCATCTAATCACAGGGTTCAGATTTCAGAGCTGCAGGATGCGTTTCGTCATTAAATGGTAAAACATGAGTCTTCAAAAACGTAAACCAGAAAAGATAGAAGGGATCGTCATGCATAATACTCCCTCCAGTCAAGATTATTTGACGTTTCCGACAGCCAAAACCTATTAAGCGCAAGTCATTTTCTTTGTCCAAAGTGTCAAATTAACGTCCAGAGGTAGTAACACATTAACAGAAAAGTATAATTTCAACTACTTCTAACCTGCTTTTGCAGACTGAATTCCTTATTATGTCAGTAACTTATTTTCTTGACAAGGACTGATAAAGATAAAGCCAAAGGATGGCATGAGGGCATGAGAGACATATCCTATATTAAAAGCAAAAGAATGGGTTTAAAGGAAAAGAAAATGATATACTTTTTTATATACTTTTCTTAAAGATATACTCTTTTCTTTATGATATACTTTATATTAAATGTTCATTGGGCTCTGTTTTAGCATCAGAAAATGGGCTTACAAGCTTAGTAAATGTTAACTTGATGATATATTGTCCTTTTCTTGTATAGTTTGATGTCGGTAAATAATTTTTGGGAATTGTGACATGGTGATCAGATATTTTTACTCTTCCAAATTATTTTCCATCTTATAAAAGGAGTTGGGGCTTACAATATATTTCTACACCTACTACTCATAAAAATTCTATGGCTAAACATGTAAATGTTGTTTAAATAATTTATTTGAAAAAACGGCAATCTTTGCATGTGTTTATGTCATTGGCTTTATCTGAATTAATCACGTTAGAAATTTTAACTTATATTTATTTGTCATCGGTAGCAATAAGGAGCACAAAGCTAGTATGTATAAGATTTTATTGGAGAATAACCAAACAAAAATACCTGGCCCTTCTGTCATGGGATTAAGAGCCTCAACAAAATTTTCTGAGGCGAAGTTGCGAAAAATTAAAACAATGTAAATGAACTCGAAGTCTCAAACAATTAATACAGTTACTATTCCTCAAAGAAATATAAGACATTGAAGAGTTAGAAAAATATAACTAGACAAGAAAACAAGTAGTTTCTTTTTACCATAAAGAAAATAAGTAGTTTTGTAGAGCTATAACTATTGTGGTCCATACATGGCCAAAATTTGCAGCCCTAGTGAACAGTGAGATTCACCTCAATAAAACTGAAAGCTAGTGACCAGAGAGAAGGTAGCAGTCAGAAGGACATGAGCGACAATGGAAACAAACAAGAGAAAAAGGGCCCAAAAGGAGTGGATTTGCATGCCTGCAGGGCTGCATAATATAGTAATCTTGTTGGGAAAATGTTGCAGAAATTGAACTGTAAATAACTAGTCAAGCTTAAAAGCAAGCGTGAATTCCAAAACGAAAACCTTACAGCATAGAAAGAACCTCAACTGAAGTAAGGCATGGTTTAATTGAAGTTGATGAAATAACAACGGTTTCAGATATCTTAAAATGTGGTTAAGCCTGGTAGCTTGCTATTTTCTCCATTTCAAAATATAAGGTGCATTTTGTTTCATTAGGATAAGACTTTGACCAACGATTACTCTAAAATTAAATTTATTAGATTCATATTCAAAATTACTTATGATTATAATTTTATATCACATAAATGATATTCTAATAGAGTAGTTGTTGGTCAAAGTATTATCCTAACGAATCAAAATACACCATATATTTTGAAACGGAGTGAGTACCATCTTGTGCTATTCAAATGCTTGCTAGACTCAACGAGCACCATGAATGGCATGCTTCTTTGTGATATACGGACCCATGGTAACTTGCAATCATTCCAAGGCCGCATAGTGTGTGACAGTGTGAGGCTGTGAGACTGGCTGCATAGTGTGACAGTGTGAGGCTGTGAGACTATGAGGTACTCGCCCTGCCATCCGGCATAGTTCTGCCAAATTCTCAAATGCAGAAAGTACCCTTGCAGGCCTAAATCGTTTCAAAGTTGCTCACATGCACCTACTCCCTAACAAAAGTTGTATTTCATCGACTGCTTTAAATGTTAGGCCAATTTACCACACACACATCAGGTTCAGCAGGACACAGACAAATATCAGGACGCGGTTTTCACAGTGCAAACAGACCCAACGGGAAATCTCCATGCTTAACCTACAATTTGGTAAATTCATGACCAAGCGGAGACTACACTACTAATGTAGCACTCCTATTTCCGCCTGAATATGGAGTATTAATCTCGCAAACGGAGAAAAAAAATTGTACAAAGCAGAAGCGGGAGAAAAACAACCCCCCCCCAAAAAAAAAAAAAATCTCAACAAGCAGCATCCGTGATCGCGTACGTACAGTAAGAGGACTCACAATGATTCATCCGAGTCTCGATAAACGAGAAAACTGCAACGGAAATTGGGGTTTGCGGGAAAGGGAGCCGTACCTTGCCGTGCGATCGATGGAGCCGAACGCCGCCGGCGGTGGAGGAGAGAAGGCGAGCGGTGGATTCGGTCGCGGCGAGAGGCGGAAGCGGCCGGATGTTTAGCGTGTTGTTTCCCCCCTTTTTCAGTGGTAGCGGCCGCCGGCGGCCGCCGGCCACCGCGGCGGAGGGTCGGCTAGACCGCGAGACGATCCGAGTGGCCGGAGACGAAGCGTTCAGGTATAGCCCCTTGGGCCAGTAGGCGACCCTCAGGCCCATATATATGATTCGATGGGCCTAACATGTATCTCCCCAGAAGCCGGACGAGCTCGCACCAAGGTTTAACAAACCAAATCATTTCGTTAACCTCGTCGCCGTCGCCGTCAACCGGCTGCTCCGACCACCGGGGAGAGCTCCTCCTCCTCCTCTCCACGACTCCACCTCGTCTCCACGCTCCCCCCTCGCCGGCGGGCGCCCGTCGATTCCGCTTCCCCGCTCTCTTCTGCAAGCGCGCAATAATCAACAGGCGAAAACCCCGCAGGTAAAAACCCTCACCTCCCAAACCCCAAGGGAAAGGAGATCTAACAACAATCTGCGGCATTTCGCTTATGTTTTCTGTGTTTTTTTTTACTTTTGGTGATTTTTTTCCCCATGTCTTGTCACATTGTCAGGAGGGATCCAGCTTCCTGAATTTTTTGGCAAATTTTTGAGGTGTGAGCTCTTTTTTTGTTGGGAATTTTGAGGCACCGCATCCACCAGAGCCGGCCGCCATACTGAATTCAGGATGTCTACGCAGCTAGTGTTTCCCAGTGCTTCCAATGGCGGATGCCCATTGGGCGTTTCGCGGAACAATTTTAGGAAAGTGGTTCTGGGCGTCGGTGCGGGGCATCTCCAGGGAAAGAAGTGCTTTTCTGGTGGCTCTTCCCGCCCTAGCAAACTCGAGTGCTCTGCAAACTCGCGGCGAGTTGGGCCACGGCGCACCAAGGATGCCCTGTATGACCTCCACCCTGAGATCTCGATGCTGTATGGAGAGGATAATGGTGCAGTTGCTGCCCCGGGCAAGGAACAGGATATTGTCAAGACCACCGAGAGGCTGGAAGATGTATCTGCGTCGCACCGCTACAGTGAGCCGAGGATCAAAGTCATTGGCGTTGGAGGTGGTGGATCCAATGCTGTGAACAGGATGATTGAGAGCGACATGAAGGGGGTGGAATTCTGGATCGTGAATACTGATTTTCAGGCTATGAGAATGTCACCCATTGATCCGGATAATAAGTTGCAGATCGGCCAGGAGCTAACACGAGGTCTTGGTGCTGGTGGGAACCCGGAAATCGGCATGAATGCAGCCAAGGAAAGCCAGGAGTTGGTAGAACAAGCAGTTTCTGGTGCTGATATGATTTTTGTGACTGTAAGTCTGTGCTGCTCATGTAAATTATATTATTTTCTGTTGCTTGATTGATAAAGAATGGCATGATTCTCTTGGTGTTTTTTTTTTGGGGAGATTTAGCGCATATATGAATTGATCTATGTATGCGCATATATAAATTGATCTATGTATGTAAGTTGAGTCATAATATGCTAGGGCAATATCTTCTGTTCGATTTACATCTCCATGTACCAAAATATAAACTTTTCTCTTCTTTAGTTGGAAGGAGTACGTTGTGCTCTTCATTGATCCTTTGAATTCATTTTTAGGCTGGAATGGGAGGAGGGACAGGCACAGGCGGGGCCCCAGTTATAGCAGGGATTGCAAAGTCCATGGGTATATTAACTGTTGGAATTGTGACAACCCCGTTTGCATTTGAGGGAAGGAGGCGTGCACTACAGGCGCAAGAAGGAATTGCGTCCTTAAGAAGCAATGTTGATACACTGATTGTAATTCCAAATGACAAATTGTTGACTGCTGTTTCTCCAAATACTCCTGTGACAGAAGCATTTAATTTGGCAGATGATATACTTCGGCAAGGTGTCCGTGGAATCTCAGATATAATCACTGTAAGAAAATATGTTGCACCTTAACAACTCATGGCACTATGGATTAGCGAACCCCCATGAAGTACATTTTTGTTACATATTGAAATCATGCTACTAGAGTCGTTAAATTTTCTGTTTCCTTAGCTACATTGATGTCCCAGTGGTTTGTTGTCGCTGATGCCTATATTTCGATAGTCAAAACTACAAGTGAGAGTAATCATCTGAATTCCAATTATCGTCTTTAATTTACTGGTACTGATACGAGTGAGAGTAGAATATCAGTGATGACTATCGTGATAAGTTCCTTGATCCTGTCCATAGCCATCCTTTATGTTTAGTCATTCACTGCTTGTCATGCTATCTGCATTACCAGCTCATGGGTCTGAAAGTTTAAACAATTTGTAGGATATCCTTTGCCAATATGCTCACCAAATGACAATTCATGTGATACATTTAGATTACTGGTAATTTACTGCTATATTCTTTTGCTTGCAGGTGCCAGGTTTGGTCAATGTTGACTTTGCTGATGTCCGATCAGTTATGTCGGATGCAGGGTCATCTTTGATGGGCATTGGAACTGCAACAGGTTGGATTTCAGAAAGCATTATGTGTTCAGCTTCAGCATCAAATAGCATAAAGGGGGCACTCCACATATATTCCTATCGCATGGGTTCATTTACAGAATTACAGTGCTTTTTACGGAATTCCCAAGCATGCGTAGTTAGAGTTTATGTTAGCTGCATTTATTTGATGCTTCTAAGAGATACAGTATAAGGTTATATGGGATCCTACTACCGCTGAGGCGATATTTACAATCATCAGAGTGCCCTCCCCCAACACACACACACACACACACACACACACACACACATATGATACCCTTGATCTCTGATTGTTTTCCCCTGATGATCCTTATGCCCTCTTTGCAGGTAAGACACGTGCCAGGGATGCTGCGCTTAATGCTATACAGTCTCCTCTTCTTGATATTGGCATTGAAAGAGCAACAGGAATTGTATGGAATATCACTGGAGGGAATGATCTAACCTTGACGGAGGTATTGCAGAGTAGTTTGCTATTGCATTCTTCTGGTACAGGTTGCTTGTTTGATTAGATCTTGATTTTTTTAATGGCTAAGTAGTTTAGCTGCTAACCGCAGGTAGCAGACCTCATTTTCTAAGTTTGGTAATAAATAGGCCTTTATTGCCTTCAGTTTATGCTGACTATTTAGATGACATAACACATCACAGAATTGTGATATGACTTCTTAAATTATATATTTCTGCTAAATTCCACTGGTATTCCTTTGTTTTAGGTGAATGCAGCAGCTGAAGTGATATACGATCTTGTTGATCCTGGTGCAAATCTCATTTTTGGCTCTGTTATTGATCCATCGTATACTGGTCAAGTAAGCAACCATATAAAAAGAAATAGGGGTAGTATTATTTTTTAATCAAAAGCTATGGTGGTGATTATGCCATCCATTTTTCTAGAGGTCATTGAATTTACCACGCTATTGCCAAATATAAGTATTATTATCCCCTTATCCAGGTGAGCATAACCCTGATTGCAACTGGATTCAAGCGTCAGGAGGAGGCTGAGAGTCGACAGGTACATTCTACATTGTTATGCCTACTTTATGCCCACTGCCATTATGTATTCTGATGTTCTTCATTCTACTCTCCCTTGCGTCAAACATCGACGACTGTCAGGCTGGTGGAGATAACAGCCGGAGCCACAGCAGTTGGTTTTCTTCATCATCCCAGGAAGAAGGTCCAACATTGCAGATCCCAGAGTTTTTGCAGAGGAAAGGGCGTTCAGGGTTTTCCAGAGGCTGAAACTTCGGCTTGAAGAAAAAAAAAAACTTAGAACTCTCACTAGTTTAGCGCACCAGCTTTCTTTCTCGTGCTTTCCTCTTCTTCTTTTTTTAATTTTGTTAGGAGTTCGATATGTTTCAAGTTTATTTTTGCTGCTCAGATTTAGATGATAATGTTATGAGCAGATATTTGATTCCTGAACCGTACTGTGCTTCCTGAATGGATAAACTGGAATTCTTCTCTCTTTTTCACAACTCACATGGCCGCTGCCGTGAAGAAATTAGCACGTCGCAACATCATCGCACATCGTGTAATATCGTGACCAGTAATAATGTTAATCAACAAATCAATTTTAATTAGGGCTTTGTTCGAATATGTTAGGCAGAAAAGTAGAATTAGCAACTACCACAGGGACTAATCTGCAAAGCTTTCCACCAGGCCAGGTTGGCTGGCATGAACCACCAAAACCGGGAGAGGAAAGCGTACGAAAGCAGGAGGAACGCAACCGAAAATAGGGGGGAAGAGAGATTTCCCTCGCGCGCTTGTCGTTCGCCTTCTTCCCCTTTGCGGATTTGAATCCGCTCGGGGGCGCTATTACCTATTGGCGCCGCGGCGGCGGCGGCGGCGATTTGAGTCGGGATCCCGCTCGATGGCGGAGGGCTTCGGGCGGTGGGAGGCGGATCCGCTCTTCCCCGCCGCCGAGTGCGTGCAGGACTCCGCCGACAGGTCCGTGTGCTTTTCCTTTCCTTAACGTTCTTTCTCTGTTTCTCGATCTGTGGCTCTCTGCTAGAATTGTGCGCGTACTTTGGTTTACAAATCTCGGGGGGAATATGCCAAGAAATGTGTAGTTGGAAGGATTCGCTGCGTGCTCGACGGGATTACGTGGCTCCTGTTCTGGAGCACGGGAATTCTTCGATGCGGTTTGTTCCGTTCATGTGAATCTGCGTGGATTACTGGATTGGCTTCTGCGACTAGGAGATGCTAGGCTGGGAATTGGTGGCAAATGGCAGACAACGTTTTGTTTCCCAGGGTTTCATGGCCGTCTTTCGGATGGGAGATTCTGGAGATGTCAGCTTGGATGGGCACGCTCCGTCAGGATTGAGCATTGTTTGGGGAATAATATGCAACTTCACTCAACTTTGAGAAACTTCTCTTATTTTGGGGCACGCCTTTCTGGGATGCATGAATGACTGTCTTTCTGTTGCAAGAGCTTAGCATAATGGTACCATGTGCCTATAACATTTTTTCCATGTAAATAGGAGTTGTATAAATTGAAATTAATCATGTTTTGTCGTTGTGGTGCTAGTCTTGTGTTTGATTATCATTTACCTTATAGCAAAACCTGGTTTGTTACCGTGGTAAATAGTAAATACTAGCCATCAACTTATGTGTCTATGTTCCACCTTTCTATGGGAGTTGAATTTTGTATTTTAGTTCTAATAAGAGGTAACCTATACGCCTCCACATGGTACCACCGTACCAGCCAAATCTAAGTGTTTTCTCCATATGCACTTTTTTGCACTGTCATGCAAATAGTATAGATTTTTCTCTGTCTTGATCAAGCTAGGAGTTATAATGAATTTTCTGTCTTGGTTAGTGTAAGAGCAATTAGTGAATTACTGACCCTACAAGTAATGTATACAAATAAGATCCTTTTCTAACAAGAAGTTATAACCATAATTTTGGATTGGGACAGGATGGAGGGTGTGTACCGCTTGCTCTTGCATGAAAGAAAACTGATACAAGATGATACCTCACATACAAAACGTCGTGTATCAATGCAGTATGAGAGAGATGTGTGCACTGCTCTTGGAACAACAAAGTGGCAGGTTTGCATAGTCAAGCTCTCCATTTTTAACATATTTTTAATCATTCTTATCCATATATCATATGTTTTTCGGGTTATCCGTCCACTTCTGCATTTAAAGTTCTAAGGTCTTTATTCTCCTAAAACTGGCAGTTGGAGCAATTTGAGCGAGAAGTGAATGCAGCGGCATTGTCTAATAAGTCAAATTCAAGGGAAAATGCCATCTTGCAATTTAGGCAATTTATTAGAGCTATAGCGGAGCAAATTTCTCAGGTGGAAGATAGTTTGGAGAGTCTTAGGAATGATTCCATTAGAACACCAAAACATTCATACTTGACTGAACATGATGGAGATGAATTGGCATCTTTTCTTTCTGGTAGTAATAGAAAGGATAATCATGTGATTTATTCCACTGGAACAGATGAAATTGTTGAGCTCAAGCTTGATAGTGTTCCTGCAGTAAATGGTTATCATTCCACCCAAGAACGTACATCATGTGAATTCAGATATTCAGGAGAAGATGTGGAAGGAGCAGCCAAGCCTCAATGTTCATGCGGGGAAAATGCATGTGAAGGAGATCATAATGGTAGCAGTATGCGTGGTTTGGATTCTGATGATTCAATAGGTAGGAAGCATCATTTCAGGAGCAAACTGAGCAGGAAATACCACAGTTTTATGCGGAATTTATGGTTTACAAATAGAGGACGTGAGAGTTTTACAAAGAGGAGGAAAGATGGAGAAGTTATGGATAGCTTGAGAAATGGAAGTACATTACCTTCATTCAATCTACCTCCAGCTGGAAGGGTGTGTTATATCCTATATTTGCTTTACTTCCTGGTTGCTTATATATCAAAATAGCACAATCTATCTACTATTTTAGCATAATAACAAGGCTGTACTCCTATAAGGAATATTGATTTCTTTTGATTTCTCACGTAATAACTAACAACCTTTTTTTTTGCAGGCTATGTATTTCTGGCCTGAGCTTATCAAGAGGAGATTAAGTAAATTTAAATGCTCTACACATCACAAGCATCTTCAAGTCCGTTTAGCAACAGTACTACTAATTGCCCTTGCTGTACTTGGTGAGTTGCACCAAAGCCATCTGTTCTTGAGCATTTCTGATGATTAACCATTCTGCTATTTAAAAAAAATGATAATTTTCAACTTTCAAGTAGCATACTATGTTTTGCATCGCAGTGTTTGGCAGTTTTAATACCTGAAAAAAAATAAATGGAACTGTTTGGTGGTTTCTTGCAGTCGATGCATCCAATTAGTATTTCTCTTAGTGTCCATAATGTTCAGTTCAAATCTTTGCAATAGTTAGTGGTAGTATACCTGGAAACTGGAAATGCAAGCACCAAGGTTGTAAACTCTAACACCATGGACATTCTGTATCATAACCTGCATCAAAACAAGATAGTATTTTCAATGAAGTGTAAGGTTCTCCATCTGAAATGATTTTGCACATGCTGCAGGCTTGCTGGTTTTGCATGTGAGATGACTGGGAGCAGTATCCGGTTTTGGTCCCTGTTGTGTACGTGCCAATCGCCATGTTGCACTGTACCAATCAATCATTTTCATAGTTCCTGATGGAGGAGGATCCGTGTGCTATTGAGCACCATTTGCTATTTTATATTGCCATTCGAGGGAGACATAGGTTTGGCGTCATTTGATTGCTCCTAAGTAGCCTGGACCAGCACTGACATGAGCTGTGATTTTCCACAAATCCACATTTTTTGTTCAGAACTGCCACGTGAATACACGATGTATTGTATTGGCTTGTTTGTGATACTTGCACAATCAAGTAATCAACCATTGTCTGATCAGTAAGATGACAAAGTCTTCTCCAGATTTTTACGGTAGCAATCCTGTTAATATATTCCACCCAGAGAAAGGTGCACTCTAATGTAATGCCAACTGTAGCATAACCTAGGGGCTCTGTAGCTAGTGAAGTTCTCAATTCCGGTCATCCACAGGAGATGTCAGATGTGCTATTTGTGTATGTGTTCCAGTTTGATTCCCTGATTGAACCTGCAACTTTGTCTTTGGCTGCAAAAAGATTGCAGCACTTGAATCGAACTGGATTCAATGTACAAGTTCGTGTGCTCGTTCGTGGCTGTCCCTGTTTTGTTCTTAAATTTGCTTGTTTCTGGCTTGTGGGCGTGCAACTCCACTCTAGTAGTCATTTTTTTAAGAACTCATACACTTTATTTGTTTGAACAGAGTTTAGAAACAGATAGGATCAGTTATGGTTACATCTCCCTTAGGAGTATTGAGAATGCCTCTTGTACTCCTATGTCGATTCATCTTAATAAGTTTCGCTTTCCGTTTTGTTCGTTCGACGTGCTAAGCCGAGAGCTATCGCCTTTTCGCGATCACAAAGTTCTTTTAAGGATGTGTTTAGTTCGCGAAAAGAAAATTTTTGGACGTCACATCGGATGTTTGATCGGATATCGGAAGGGGCCTTGGGATACGAATTAAAAAACTAATTTCATAACTCATCTGGAAACGTGAGACGAATCTTTTGAGCCTAATTAATCCGTCATTAATACATATGAGTTACTGTAGCACTTATAGCTAATCATAGACTAATTAGGCTCTAAAAATTTGTTACATGATTTTCATGCAAATTGTGCAATTATTTTTTGTTTTTATCTATGTCTAAATATTCGACGTAACGTTTTTAGGAAAAAAATTTTGGAACTAAATCAGACCTAAAGAAAAATTCGACAGAGATCAGTGAGATGGCTGCGAAGGTACCTGTGGGCTGTGGTCACCGGCGCGTGGGTCCCTCTGTCAGATGTTTTCCCTTTGGGAACACTGGGCCCATCTGCCAGTCCCAATACCGGCCTCCCGCCCTACCAAGGGCCGCGCCGCCGCCGCGCCCGCCGCACGCACAGGCCGCACAGCCAGCGTAAACCAATTAGCCAAACCTAAAAAAAAAAAAGATAATAAAGGAGAAAGTAATCAAGTCGTCTTGGCAGCAAAAAGACCTTTTGGTTCTGTACGGCCTTTCGCCCACGCCGCCAGCCACACGGCCCAACCGCCCAACGCGAGGTCGAGGCGTGAGCCAGCCAAGCCGGAGCCGGAGCCGGAGCCGGAGCCGCGCGAGAGCAGAACGAGCCTCCTATTTAATACGGCCCTGCACTGCAGTGCACCACCCATCTCACTCGACTCGGCTTGACCCAACCCAACCTACCTCGCGATCCCCCCCTCCTCCGCCGCCGTCTCGTCGAGAGAGAGAGAGAGAGAAGGTACGCCTCGGTTGATCCGCCACCTTCTTCTTCTTCTTACTTACCCTCCCTTCTGATCCCCTGTTTCCCCTGGTCATGGCGGCGAGATCTCCGTGTAGGAGTGAGATCGCCGCCTCCTCCTCATGGTGTTTCCTGGTGCGGCGCGCGTGAGAGCTCGGCCCGAGCCCGAGCCCTCTCGCTTTTGCCGTGCCGGATCTGATTCTGTCCGTGCTAGTGTTAGTGTCACGTTTTGGTGTAGACAGTAGACTCATGAAACGAGGAGAGGCTTTTTTGTAGGATGGGTCAACTTTTAGGAACTTGTCCAAAGTTTAACAACTCTCAAGGATGAACTGGGAATAGTGGCGCTGTTATACATTAGGAGTTGGTCTGCGAGAAATTTGGATGGGATTAGTTGCGGATCTTCCATCAGCTAGTGGAGCTTAAAGATACTGATGTGTTGTCCGTACTGAAATGCACTTCTTTGCCTTGGCAAAACCCCAGTCTCCCCCATAAATTTAGTTTTGTTTGCTTAGCTTTACCAAATGCCATCAGCATACATGGTGTAAAATCATATACTTTTGTAACGAACGAATTGTGTTTATTTGCATTTCAACTAGTGCTTTCTTCCTAATTTATCAGGACTATCGAGATGGCAACTGCAACTGCTCCGAGATTGTGCTTTCCTAAACCCGGCGCGGCCATTGCTCCGGCGACCAAGAGCCCTTCCTTCATTGGTTACGCAAAGCAAACATTGAACATGTCAGGCCTAAGGATCTCCAACAAGTTCAGGGTGTCCGCGACAGCGGTGCACAAGGTAAAGCTTATAGGCCCGGACGGTGTCGAGCACGAGTTTGAAGCCCCTGAAGATACCTACATTCTCGAGGCCGCTGAAACTGCCGGGGTGGAGCTGCCATTCTCATGCCGTGCTGGATCATGCTCCACATGTGCGGGTAAGATGTCATCGGGAGAAGTTGATCAGTCGGAAGGATCCTTCCTCGACGAGAACCAGATGGGCGAGGGATACGTTCTGACATGCATTTCGTACCCTAAGGCGGATTGCGTCATTCACACCCACAAGGAGGAAGAACTCTACTAGGTCGCTCTTTTTATGCTTCTGTGGGCACATTTGCTGATTTCAAAGTGGACTCGCTGTTCAGTTAGTTTTCGCTATCCAAAAAATGGCCATATCTTTGTATTAGTCTTTTGATGGGACCGTGTCATATGAGTTGTGACAATAATTGTCGTAGTCCTGTTCAGCATTTCAAATTGCGTTTGTTCAATTCACAGCAGGTCCAACTTCCAACGATGACATGTTATCAGAAGTTGTGTGTAATGGTATTATTGTGGATCACTTCCAGTAGGAAAAAATTGACTTGTCCTTTCTCCACATGCTATTTTGCAAGATGAATCAGAAGTTCAGACATTGTAGAACTTTCTATTTACATACTATGTTCCTGAAGGCTGCAATATGCACATCTGAAAGCTGGGATGCCTAACAGTTCTGTTATCCTGTATGGCTGCGCCTCACTATTTCTTGATGTTTCAGACTCTGGAAGGCAGGTTAGAACTTGTCAACCTGACACTTAAATACTTCATATTTGTTTGCGTATGTTTAACTGTTTATCTAACACTGTGATCAACGCTAATTGGCTAAAGTGGTTCTGTGAAACTATGTGTATCCGTTATTTCAGTTGAGCAACTTACACATGGACCCTGAAGCAGCACCCACCCAGTATTTTGCAGTGAGGTACACATTTCTGCTCTCCAAAGGTCAAGCATCACCCCGTACTGTGAATGATTGAATTAGCACTGTGCACTGCAAATGATGAAACAAAGTCAAATTTTATTCACCGAAAATGTAAACTTGGAATCAATGCAGCAAATGCCGTATCAAACTGCCGCCCAGCAAGGAGTCTAGGTTCGATTAGATACGACAATTTGGATTTGTAACCTACTCCTACAACGCTACACGGTTGAAGTACTTGCATCAGTTGCTTTCATAAGTCCGTATGTATGCATGTTCATCCACCGTTGAACAAGAAAAAAAAATGGGGAGAGAAAGAAGAATCACCGGACAACTAACCAACATATACAGAGCTCCTAGCTCTGATTTAGTTTGTTTAATTATTACTCCTATTTCTTAAGCAAATGAGATAATAAAGTAGCTAACCTTTCCACTGCGATCATATCAGGGAGGGGCCTTTCGTTTTCAGGTTTACCGTCCGACGTGACGCGCTGACGTGGAGGTTTTAATACTGGTAAGCGACCGCCACCGGCCGTCTGCCGCCGGGGAAGGTAGCAACCGCCGCCGTGCGCGTGCGGCTGACGGCGGCGGTCCGACCCGGCGTGCGGATGACAAAGGGCACCATCGGTTGTCGTAATAAGTCAAAGCTAAAATTTTAAAGTTTAAATTTAATTTCTTAGTTGATTTGTAAGATTTTCTTTTGCCGAGCCCGCCCAAGCTAGATCGGCCAAATTTACATGAGATTGAGATTAAGGAGATTAAGGATTATGTACAAATTTTTAAGATTTTTTTAACATAGTTTCTTCTTCAGTATTATCTTTTCAAATTGTTAAGTTTTACCTATAAATTAACTTTTATTTCCTATACGATTTATTAGAAAATATTAGCAACCAATGAGACTGATACATGTGATGTGGATTTCTTCCGTCGGAACATTTATTTTTCTTCGTCGTTGCGTCGTTTTTGCTTCCAGGATTTTTCTTCAAACCCATATGTTCTATTTAGTGTGTTCTTCGACAGTTTGGACGTCACCAAGCAGGCCAAAAACAGGTTGGACCTTGTGACGGAAGGTAGCACCACTGCCCGTATACGGTGATGGATTTTTGCCGCTCAGGATATCGTCTTGTTTTTCATATTCCCCATCTCAAAATATAATAATTAGTATAGGATGGGACACATTCTGATAACACGAATATATATATGTTGTTATTTTGAGACGGTGAGAATATGCTATTTAAATACTTATAAAAGAATTAATTGTATTAGATTAATTAAACCCTACAAAGCAAACAAGTACTTAAAAAATAAGAATTTGAACTCTACCTAGTGCGTGTACTATTATGTCATATTTGTTACTAGTATTTCTTTTAGTTTTGGTACCGCTAGTATAGGTTAACTTTGACCTTGCATATTATAGAATGCTATATTGTGCATTGATTTATTTTTTTTTAAAAAAAATATATTCATAACTTTTTAAATAATAATATGAAGGAAACTACTCCATCCATCCCATAATATAAGGGATTTTGAGTTTTTGTTTGCATTGTTTGACTACTCGTCTTATTTAAAAAAATTGTGCAAATATAAAAAACGAAAAGTTATGCTTAAAATAATTTGGATAATAAAGTAAGTCAAAAAAATAAATAATAATTCTAAATTTTTTTGAATAAGACAAGTGGTCAAACAGTGCAAGAAATCTCTTATATTATGAGACGAAGGGAGTAGAAGACACGAGCGAAAGAAAAAAGAAGCTTCCCAGACTACTGTTTATCAGAGCAGGCGAGTTGCCACCGCTATAAAGAGCATGGAAAGGTCGCGCGAGCCGGCCCCCGGCATGAGAGAAAACGCACGACCTTAATAATGCATGCGTAACTGTTCTCCCGTCACGACCTCAAGAGAGCTCAGCCTAAGGCGGGCAGCAGCTAAGCCAGAGGCCGGGATGGAGCTCTGCGCCGTCTTCTTCTCCTCGGTCTTCTCCCTCCTCCTCCTCCTCCTCCTCTCAGCAGGTAGGGATACTCATGGCTCCTTCGTTTCATTCCATTCGTGCGTTCCTTGCGTGTTTTTGTCAGTGTGGATCATATGGAAGACTGAAACACAAGGATCAAGGATCGATGGTTTAGTTCCTTGTGTTCTCTGTTTCTTCTTCTCCTTCTCGTTTCATTTCGAAGAGACCATTGATGGCTTGGAGCGCTTTGAGTGCAGTTTTAAGAATTTAAGGGTGTTTACGCAAAAAAATAAAATAGAATAAAGGAGAGTAAATTTGAGCGTGGAGAAATGCGACCTTTGTACTACCGTGCAAAACAGCTGTGCTGGTGTTATCGTCTACAGGAAGTGAAAAACAGTGAATTGAATCAATTGATGATGATGCAGTTGTCTACAATGAGCCTATGAGGTCGTTTTCTTCGATTAATCAAGCATGTTTCAGGCGGCTGGTCCGACGTGTACTGGATAGTGAAAACATTGAATATTCCGCACCACGCGGTGATCCTGATCCTTTTGCTGAAAATTTTCACGGCCATTTGATTTGACATTGTTTGATATTTTTTTCTCCCTTTGATTGCAAGCTCCGTGTTTCTGCTCGTCGAAAACGACCTCCTACCCAAGATCATTTCATGTAGTTTAATTATGTGATAGGGAAACTTCCCCCCTGGATTAACTTCTTACTATCTCTTACGATATTTCGAATGACTGGTTAAAAAAAAGATATTTCAAATGCCTTGCTGATTATAGCAATTAACTGAGCTTGAAATGGTAAGCATCATGTTCAGACATGATAAGCTCTCTTTCCCTGACAAAAACAAGTACCATTTTTTTTCTTTTTACGTAACTGGCATAAAAACAGGTTAAATGTTGCCGATGCAGCGCTGCTATACAAAAATGCAAGTGTAAATTTCATTTTTCATTTCTGCCCTCCTTAATCTTGGTATTAATCACCGCAGCCAATGACGTCGTCGTGTCGGCGGCGACGTCGCCGCCGCTCAAGTTCGGGATCAACTACGGCCAGATCGCGAACAACCTGCCGCACCCGACGCAGGTGTCCGGCCTCCTCCAGTCGCTGAGCGTCAACCGGGTGAGCTCTACGACGCCGACCCGGCCGTCCTCGCCGCCTTCGCCGGCACCGGCGTGGAGTTCATCGTCGGCAACGAGGACCTCCACAACCTGACCGACGCGCGCAAGGCCCGGGCGTGGGTGGCGCAGCACGTGCAGCCGTTCCTCCCGGCCACCCGCATCACCTGCGTCACCGTCGGCAACGAGGTGCTCTCCGGCAAGGACACGGCGGCGATGCAGAGCCTCCTCCCGGCCATGCAGTCCGTCCACCAGGCGCTGCTCGACCTCGGCCTCGCCGGCAGGGTGAACGTCTCGACGGCGCACTCCGTCAACATCCTCGCCACCAGCTACCCGCCGTCCGCCGGCGCGTTCCGGGAGGACCTCGCGCAGTACATCCAGCCGCTGCTCAACTTCCACGCCGAGGTCGGCTCGCCGTTCCTCGTCAACGCCTACCCGTTCTTCGCCTACAAGGCGAGCCCGGCGAGCGTGTCGCTGCCGTACGTGCTGTTCGAGCCCAACCCGGGCGTACGCGACCCGGCCACCAACCTCACCTACGACAACATGCTGTACGCCCAGATCGACGCCGTGTACGCCGCCATGAAGGCCATGGGCCACGCCGACATCACCGTGAGGATCTCCGAGACCGGGTGGCCGTCCAAGGGGGACGACGACGAGGTGGGCGCCACCCCGCAGAACGCCGCCGCGTACAACGGCAACCTCATGAAGCGGATCGCCGCCGGGGAAGGGACGCCGCTCAAGCCGGCCGTCCCCGTCGACGTGTTCGTGTTCGCGCTCTTCAACGAGGACATGAAGCCCGGCCCCTCGTCGGAGAGGAACTACGGCCTGTTCTACCCCAACGGCACGCCGGTGTACAACATCGGCTTCGACGCCGCGTCCTTCAGCCCGTCGCCGACGACATCCACGTTTTCCTCCTCTTCCAGGCCAACGGTAACAAAAAAGAATTTGAATTTTATTCTACTTCGAAATTTTGAATATGCAAATTTGAGTTTCATAGAACAAAGAGAACTTCTAATGGCCATGTCTTCTCTTATTGTCTTACCAGAAAAAATATCCGTGCGTTGCAACGGGTGAAAACTATTTTAATTTTATTATAGTTAAGATGAAATTTATTGTGGGATTTCACTTGGATATATATATTTTTAGAAAATCATGAGCTGCAATTAGGAGTCTGTTCGTCTAAAGTTATCATGCAAGTTTTCTTATACAACTCCTTATGTATTTCCAAAAGCGAACGAACTTAAAAACCGACTCATACATGAATGACATATCAAAGTACCAACAAAAACATCTTCAATTTTTATATATTGTCTTATTAGAAAACGTACATTTTTTTTTTCGCCAGACCTTAATATAATGGTAAGTTTCTGATTGCAAATTATTTTGCTTATGTTCGTTCTGCAGAGTACATTTCTGATGGGGGTGGTTGTCCTACTCGCCGCATTCCTCCTCTGACAATTTTCTCCACAAGTATATTGCACGAATGATTTGGGATTGTTTTTTGACCGATATAGTTCGATTTGTGGTTGGTTGCATAGCACAGAAAAGCAGATACATTGTTCTAACCTCGAGGTAAGCTTGTCTTGACCATGTTCTTGTTCAGTTGCTCACACAGTTTTCAGAAACCGTTTTTTGTCAGTAAAATTGCCATCTTACAAGTTACAACTAGGTTATTGCTTACTGTGTTAGCCATGAAATTGATTAGTTCAGCATAATTTTGTAGACATAATGGTAGGTGATGGGTCGATCCTATCTCAGTGGCAAGATATGTTTGGACATTTTCGCATCTGGTGCGTCATGTGAAAGATGTCGTTCAGTTAGCGCATTTCCCAGGGAGGTAGGCCGGTGGTTGATCGGTTGTTGCATGTTTTAGGATTCTAGCTCTGGCTATCTCTTCAGAACTCTAAACTGACCGACCAACCAACGCCCAACGAGAAGATTCTAGTTTGCGTCATGGGCAAGAATCGAATAAGCATTTGGCACAGAAGTGGGCATTATTCAGAAGCCATTGATTGTTCATCAATTTCGTCAGGAACAGAGCATTAAACTAACTAAATCCTCAATAATTTTCTCATTTCGTTATCTTAATTGTGGAATCTTGGAAGAATTGAATTGACTGTTTGTTGTAGAAAATTAGGTGGGCTTTTTTTTTTCATTCTAGCATATGGATGTTTAGGCAGATCTCTTACTATTCCTCACAATTGAATTAGGTAGGAGTAAGAAGAGTACTCTGTCGCTAAGTTGACAAAATGTGGAATATATGCGAGGACAGCGTTTTCATTCATTGTATAGTGGAGATGATCAAACAAGACTGTACTTTACCTGCTTTTGTCAACTATTCGCTTATAATCAATTACTCTTCCGGTACTAAAATATAACAATTTAATATTGGATTAGACACATCATAGTACTATTAATTTGAACTGTTATATCTTGGGACAGAGGGAATAATTGGTAGCTCTCTTGCTGTTAAGTTAAGAAAAAGTCAAACAAAACAATACCCCTCTTTGTTTTCATATATGGCATGCTGCACCAAAATGACAAATTTATTTGAAGACCAGTTTAATTTCTACCAAGCCTAGGGAAACAAGTTTCTGTCTGAAACTTGCATGTAAAATCTGCAATTATGCTGCTAATTTTCATGCCAACAGGCCAGCCAATATAGCTCCTGATAATATGTTGCTCCATTCATTTATAATGCAGGATAGCAGGGTCCATTTTTCATCTATAGTTTGGATTTTAAAGATTGTAATCATAGAGCACAGGAGAAGGGTCATGCATATCATAGGCACTCCTACACAGGAAATCGTTTTCCCCAAGGAATCAGATTCAAGCCAAGAGTTAAATTGGAAACACAGGTGGCAGTGACTTGTTCTGTAGCTGTGGTGATTCACATCACTTGCTGATAGAGAGTGATAGTGTTTTGTTTGCTTCTATTATTGCTGTAAAAAAAACAGTAAGTTTAATAGTCTATTCATTTGGTTCCCAGTTATACGTAGATCAGCATGTGGTTGATGATATAACCGATCGAAGCCCAAAGCCCAGTTTTCTTGGCGGTTAATTCGAAGAGATTTATTCTGGTTCAGCAAAAAAGTACCCCGAAATACCGGTATCTCACGGTACCAAATTATTTTCGGATGTTGGATCTAACAATGTCCATTCTACCTAGCTAGATCCAACGATAAAAACAATTTGATACCGTGAGGTACCAGTACTTTGAGGTACTTTTTCTAGACCGGAGCAAATCTCTAATTTGAAATAATCACATGTGTCTAACAGCAAAAACTTACTAGCATTAAGTCATACTCCCTCATGCCTCCTTAAAAAATATTTGGTGGGACGTCTCCTTCCAAATCTCCTTTTTTTGTCAAGAGTAAGTCACCAAGACATTAAAAACAAGAATATGAGATAAGCTAGCACGAAGCAACGCAGCAGCTACCTGTGTAGTCCACGATCATGTGGGTGCACTCCCTCCGGTACTCCGGTAGCAAGGTGCGGAGGACGCTTCCCGAGAAATATGGCATTGTGCCATCGTTAAAACTGGATTTCGTTAAAATGCTACTCCGTAAAAGTATTTCGATAAAATGCTACTTTCAGGGCCCCTTTGAATCAAAGGATTTATGTAGAAATTTCATAGGATTCAAATCCTATAGGAAATTTTTCTATTTGGCCCTTTGATTCAAAGGATTGAAGCTTTTCAAATCCTATGAAATTCCTATGGAATGACACTTTGCATGTAGATTTTGGAGGAAATTTAGCAAGAGCTCCAACCTCATCCGATTTCTGCGTTTTTCCTATGCTCCAATCAAACGACCATTCCTGTGTTTTGCAATCCTCTGTTTTACACTTCAATTCCTGTCAGAATCCTATGTTTTTCCTATTCCTTCGTTTTTTCTACCCTGCGATTCAAATGGGCCCTCAATCCATGGCTATACACTATAATACTATTCAGGACTGAATTGCCCTTGGCTTCTTCATTGTCATCTTCTTTTCGAACTCTGGTCAACGAGGTCCTCCCAACGCGCATCGTGCCTCACTCCTCTCCCATAATGGAAAAAACCGGACCAGCCCGACGGTTCGATCGAAAAAATCGGAATCAGTGGTCAGTACGGTTTGGTTGGATGAAAAGACCGGACATACAGTTGACCCGTTTTAGACCGCTCTAACCGGCCGGCTCTTAGGTGAACCGGTAATAAACCACTCCGGACTGGCAGGAGTTGGGCCGCTGGCCCGTTCGCGTGGTAAGCCTTAAATGGGCCTGACGGAAAGTGCGTGCAGTTTTCTCGGCGGGCTTGGCCGTGGTTGCGAGTCCGGAGTTGGGCTGCAGTAGCGACCGGATAGACTACCCTGGTGAAGTAAGTTGAGCTCCTTGCCACCGTCAGATCACGCATGTACGGTTCAGATTAATCCCACACCGGTGTAGAGGGGTGGCCACAAGCCAGTCTCCCCGACTCGGCGACTCCGCGTGCTTCGTGCGACCGAGCCTGTGTGCGTCAGATCGTCGCGGTCGCGGCTCGCGCGGCGCCCATCTCGTGTACTCCCCACCCTACCCCCACCTCGCCGTCGCCCTCGCCCTCGCCGGAATCCCTCGGCCTCGCGATGGCGGCGCGCGCTACGTTCTCCCGCTTCCCCGTGACGGCGGAGGCGCTGGAGGCGTGCGCCGTGCAGTGGGGCATCGCCGTGACGCCCTTCGCCGCCGCCGACGAGCGCGGCCAGGCGCCGGCCGCGGGCGCCGGCGGCGACCGGGTCCCGCGCTGCGAGCACTGCTGGGCCTACCTGAACAGCCACTGCGACATGGAGCGCTGGGGCTGGTCCTGCGCCCTCTGCGGCACCCTCAACGGCTTCGACGACGACGCGCTCCGCCGCCTCCAACACCCCGAAGGGTGGCCTGAGCTCACCTCCTCCTTCGTTGACCTCGAGATCCCAGGTTTTATTACCTCTTTTCCTTCCTCCTCCTGCGTCAGCGTGGTTTCTCTTAGCTGGTAGTACCGTAGTGAAATGTAACCCGACAACCCATGAATTGGGTTTGTGCAGTGGATGGCTCGGAGGGTGCAGGAGACGGTGTGCAGGCGCGCCCTGTGTATGTAGCGGCTGTCGATCTTGCATGTAAGTGGAATCCTTCGCGTATTGCACCGTGATCATGGAATTTTTTGAATATTGCCCCCCTCCCCTCTGCAGTTTGTAGTGGTGGGAATTTAATTTTGCTTGTTATATAATGTAATCTTACCCAAGTAAACCCAACTATATGAGAAACATAGAGAAAGGAGAGAAAAAAAATGAAATCGTGTAGCTCAAATTTGTATGCTGTTATTTGATAATATCTGCAGGTATGAGTCTAGGAGCTGAGCATTCGATGATTATTTAGTTGCATTTCATCTTCAAACAGTCCCCTCAGTTCGTGCTCATATGATTTATTTTCAGAATTGTTATTGTAGTGTTTGAATGTATTCAGGTTCTGAAGAGTTCCTGGAGCTTATTAAGAGTGCACTTCTGGCAGCTCTAGAAGGTTACTGTTTTGAACACTTGAAACTTACTGAATTATTGGCTGCCTGAACTGTGAATTGTCAGTGAGTATAATTTATGTTGCTCCTCAGTTGGCTTTTTCTCTGTGCAACAGCTCTGATTCCAGGCTCCCTGTTTGGGCTTATGACGTTCAGTCACAAGATTGGACTGTATGATGTACAAGGTCCAATTCCAGTTGTAAAAAATGTTTTCATCCCTCCAGACACAGAAGAAGATGGGCTGCCTGTTGCCCTTGAAGATGCCATGCCCCTACTTTCTTTTTTGGCCCCTGTATGTTATGATATTATAATAAGTGTTACAGTTTGCTGAGTCATTTTGAACATGTAATAATGGCAAGATAAATTTATGAGCAGATCGACACATGCAAAGATCGAATTGCTGCTGCCCTTGATACATTGCGACCTACATCTTCATGGGAGCGAGGTGCTGCTTCTGGGCAGGAACCTGATACTGTTTTGCTTGGTGGCCGAGGTTTTGGAACAGCCATGTCTGCTCTAACTGACTACCTAAGTTCAGAGTATGGAACTACTTTTGCTTTGGGTATGGTAACATATATTCCCAATGTGTGCATTTTTTTTAAATGATTCTTGTCAGTCATGCATTACTTTTCTAAGATAAGATGATGTACTTGCTGATATTTTTATTAAATCTTTTTAGCCTAACTACATTTTTTTTTTAAAAAAAATTCAAACAGCTAGGGTATTTGCTTTTCTGTCTGGTGCTCCTGATTATGGAGATGGTCAACTAGACACTAGGAGATATGGTGAACAATATGCTAGCAAAGGGGAAGACCCTGACCTTGCATTACTTCCTGAACAGATACCATTTTATAAAGACCTGGTAAGCTCCGAATGATTCTGGAGGGAAAGAAATTACATTTTTGGCTGAACATGTTTGGCATATGTCAACCTTATTGAAAATTTGAAACAGGCAGCTGTCGCTGTTCAAGCAGGAGTATGTGTAGACATATTTGCTATAACCGACGAATACACCGATTTGGCTTCGTTGAAGTTTTTAAGTATTGAAAGTGGTGGCTCATTGTTTCTGTATACAAATACAGACGATTCAACACTTCCCCAGGACATGTGAGCTTGATCGTTTGTTTGTCTTTTTTTTTTCTGCACTTCATTCAAATTCCATATTCCAAATTTTCTGATCCACATGAATGGCCTTTGCCCCTTGGTTTGCCTTTTCCTCTAACAGATATCGCTTATTGAGTAGACCCTATGCATTTGGTTGTGTTCTAAGGTTGAGAACATCTTCAGATTTTGAACCTGGCAATTCTGTAAGAATTCAAGCTATTTATGTTTAATAACTTTGATGTATTGTCAAGTCAATATCTAATGCATCTGTCATTTTTACAGTATGGCCATTTCTTCCCTGATCCTCAATATGAACATGTGCAACATATCATCTGCTGCGATTCATTTGCTACTTATGCATATGACTTTAACTTTTCACACCCTGAGGGCTTTTCCAGGTATGATTTTTTTTTCTCAGTATATATTTCACTCAACCATGGGACTTTCCAACTTTCTGCCTTGATCCTATCAATTTAGTGAAGACATGTGATACTTGTCATCAGTGATCAGATAATATGTTTTACATTTTTCACAGGCACACAGATCCTGCTGTTGTACAAATTGCATTTCAGTATAGTGTTATTGAACCTGTCAAGCATACATCAGAGAATGAAACACAATCATCTACAAGGTATGCAGGATTTTGGCATTCCTTAGTTTACCGTTAAGTTAGTCTGTTCCATGCCTAATTGGCCTCCTTTCTGGCCGAACATGCCAAGCCTCTTGTGCTATTAACATTTAATATTTCTGTTTTTCTACTACTAGTTCCTGTGCTTACAATGATTAATAATGCATGAGTGAGTATAGTAATGTTACATAGCTTCATTTGTTCCTTCTTCAGTTTCATCTTTGTTGCTGTGCTTTTGGTCAAGTGATGTCTAATTTTCAAGTTGATTAATTATAATGTCACATCCTACAGTAACATGTTTTGTCTAAAGAGGCGGTTGAGAATAAGGACATTGCAGTATCGACCAGCTAAAAATATCAACGAAATATATGACAGTGTTGATCCAGAGACTCTCCTACATATTCTAGTACATAAGGTAACCATGTTCAGTTTTCTTGAAATCATACCACTTCATTTCAAGATGTTCGGCAGTTTGAGAAGAAAAATCTTTATGGTTCATTCGGTTACTCTGTTGCATGATATGTTGTCAGGATTAGAAATGTAGTGAACTCAAGACCATTAAAATAGTGTGCTATGGATTTCGATTGGTGAAGGTTCTATTTAAGGAAGATTCCTCTGTAGATTGAATTCTGTAAGAAAATCATTAGGAAGACGTTTTTTGTAGCTTTTTTTAAAAACAATTTTGTTGAATGATTATCCAAGTTTTTCTTGGAGCTCCATGTTTACGCCTTTTAACTAACAACACCTGTGAGGAATATCACTTTTCTTTCTTGCCCTAAATTAACTTTGATTTCTATACTTTTACTATTTTTGCTCTCCTAACTTAAGTCTATTCTGAAATGTTGGCATCAGGTTATTTTAATTTCATTGGATAAAGGAGTTAAAGAGGGCAGAAGTTTGGTACATGATTGGCTGTCTCTCCTTATAGCTCGGTATAATCAGGCATTGAGATCTGATGCACGAATTCCAGAATCACATGTTGATGTTGACTTCTTACAGTGCCCACAGCTGCAAATGTTACCTCAGCTTGTGTTTGCATTGTTAAGGAACCCTCTTCTTCAGTTGCATGAAGAAGGCATTCACCCAGATTACAGGATATATTTGCAATGCCTTTTCAGGTGGGAAATCAAAATCTAAATTTAGGGCTTTGTACACTGTTCATTAAAAAAAGCATCTAAAAGAATGATGTTGTAGAATATTTGCACTAGCAATTACTTAAAAGAATCATAGATGTTATACATGTTAGAATATGCACGCTAGCAAAAAAAACGTTGGGAAAAATTATAATCATGTATACTGTAGGAAACACAAGGGGTTTGTAGCCAAACTTAACCAAGCCAAAATCTTGGCAATGCCCAAAAAAAAGTCACTTGTTTGGTTTGTAGCTAAAAGAATTGGCATTGCCAAATTATTTGGCTTAGTTGAAGGCCAAATGCAACTTTGGTAGTAAAGCAAATGAGTGCCTAGCCAATTTTTACCAGAAAAAAATTGGCAAAGGCCAATTCTTGCCATTGCCAAAAATTGGTAAGGCTAGGGATGACTATGAACCAAACAAGCCCAAGATTGTACACATTTTCTATAATCATGTGTACTGTAAGAAAGGCAAAATATTGACCACTCTGAGAACTAAAAGGAAAAGATAAGAATAAATTGCTGCTGCTGCTGCTTTGGATCTATTTTGCTTTATTTGGAATTGAAGCCAATTTTCTATCTCCAAGCGTACAAGTTTTTTATTGAAACTCCTTTCCGTTGTTATTACAGTGCCCTGGAGCCATCTTCTCTAGCCAAAGCTATATACCCAGTTTTAGTTTCATACTCGTCACCCGACAAGCAAGCATTCCCTCGGCATACGTTGAGCCGGGCTGCTCTAATCATGAGTGAGAGCCCCATATTTCTTCTGGATGCATTTACGAACCTTATTGTTTACTATTCACCGTCTGCTGATCCTTCACTTCCTTTTCCTCCACCTCATGACTGTAAGTACACCATTTCACTGTTTGCATGGTGTGCATTGTTTTTTTCACTTGATTGCTTCATCTACTTATTTGTTTCATATCTTTGCATATCACGTAGGTCTTTTGAGAACCATGGTTAATGAGTTGAAGCAGGGCAGGTGTATAACACCAAAGCTGACATTTATCCATGGAGGACGAGAAGATCCAGCATTGTTTGAGAGGTATCTTATTGAAGAGCAAGATGTTGACGGTACAGGGTTTACAAGTGGTAAAGGGTTTGTATCGTTCCGTGAGAGCATCAGGCATGCTGCAACAGACATCATCGAGACAGAAAGTAGTATCTAGTTCAAGACGTAGCACAATTCAGCTCCAAAATCATGGAGTAGATTGTATGAAGTCATCATAGCCTTCATTCCTTCATATAGATATAGCCTTGGAGCAATAAAAGGGGAGGGGATCTTCTGGCATCATAGTTGCCTGTGTGTCTGTGTCACTGTCAGTAGCTTAACTTTGTGGCATTTCGTGTATATCCGGTACCTCTTTTATTTTGTATACTCTTTTTGTTACGGAACACAGCGATACAAAGAATAACACATCAGATTTATACAGTATAAGTAAAATGATTAATTATATTGTTCAGGTTCCCAGGACTATCTCATATCCCAGTATAAGGAATTTACCGGTTATTCTCATCTTTAAGAATCCGTATTTGTATACCATGCATTCTGGTTCCGGCTCATTTTTGGCTTCTCCTTTTCTTTTGGAAGCAATGATGATCGGCATGGATCAACTCATGCTATATGTAGAGTTCATATGGTTTTTCCCCCGACATCGTCAAAATGTCAAGCCAGATGACAATGTGCAAGTGCAACAAAGTGCTCCGGGAATCGTCCACAGAAGATAAAAAAAACATGACAACCATTCAAAACACAAGGAGAACATCATATATATATAATCTTTGCTTCTTTTGGCGAACCATAGCAAAAGGGGAAGAGAAATTAGGACTCGCCAAATAAAATATTTGGAAGGCAAACTACTCCGAACACGCAGCACAGACCAGACAGCACGGTAATCTCCTATGCTTAGTTCCTGATAATTTGCTAAGTACGTAGTCCTCGAACAATCGAGGTGATCAATGGCGCGTTCAGACGCTCAGAGAATCAACGTCGTAGCCACGCCGGCGGCACCGGCGAGCACGGCCGGCCAGGTCATCAACGGCGGCGCAGCTGCCGCACCACTACTCTTGCCGTCCGCCTCGGGCGACGGGGCAGGCGCGGTGGCGGCCGGCGCCGCCGGGGCGGGGGTCGTTGTTGCTCCGGCAGGCGACGAGGACGGCGCCGGGACGGGCTCGCCGGGACGGCATAGCTCGGGCGTTGACAGCGGCGCCGGCGACGGCGCCGGAGCGTCACTGGCCGGAGACGCACCATGGTGGTGCCTGAGCTGACGCGCCCAGTCCACTTCGGCCGCCGGCACGGCGAGCGCCCCGGCAGCCGCAGCCGCCGCCGCCGCCAACGAGCACAAGAAGAGCAAGTGAGCCCTCGACATCGACAAGGGCGCCATGGACCGGAGCTTCACTTCACCTCGATAATGGCATATAATGGGATTGTTAGCTTAGCTCGAGCTGAAGCAATCGTAAGAATGTAATGGCAGCGTATGCGCGCGTAGAAGCTGGTGATCACCCAGTGCACGGCTCGTAGGATCGCGTTTATAGAGGAGTCAGGAGTGCGAGCGAATGCGCGGAGAAGGCGAGCAATTGATGCCGGTGCGGGCGCGGAAGGTCTTGATGGAGCATTTGATTGATTCCTCGTCGCGGGTTTTGTGTGCATTTGCTTGAAGCCTTGAATCATGCATCCTGGGCGAAGTTTTCGTGCGGAAAATCTGTGCATGAGACGGGCCAGAATTGATGGTTTGATGTGCATTCTGTTTGCCCAGCTGGTCCCGGAGATTGGCGTATAGCTGGGTAGCATTTGTTTCCAGGGTAAAATTAAATCCGAGCTATTTCTAGGCATCAACGTAATCTTTTTGGACAGCTCGACTTTCTTGAGAGGATAGCTCGCTAGCCCAGTAGTAGCCCTGGCCTTGTGACGAGTGTGAGTTGTATCGAAATTAGACGGCAGTAATTGAAGTCTTATGGCCCAAGTTAAAATTGGTACAAAATATCCCCGCAAAATAAAATCGTACAAAATATAACAGTGGAGGAAAAAGAAATTGACAGCTGTGGGATTTGAACCCACGCCCTTTCGGACCAGAGCCTAAATCTGGCGCCTTAGACCACTCGGCCAAACTGTCACTTGATTAATTTAGTATCGTCTTGCATTTATGCAATTTACTCAGAGTATAGAATGAAAAGACTACAGGCGCGCATATCCCTTTCTCTGCAGACTCTAAAACTTTTTGTAAGGCCGAGTTTAGTTCCAAAGATGACGACATATATGCACCTTATACATTTGGATTGCTCTGTTGAGCTTCACGAGAAAATGGATCATTGATAGGTTTTCCCTTCAGTTTTATGACTGTCGTGAGACAAGATTGGGGATAGAGGGTAAAATACCTTTTTCCCGCCTATTCTAAGAAATGAGCCCAAATTCAAAATGAACACACACTTTGACCGACGAGATTTTAGTATTCCAATATGTCCTGTCCGCTACAGGCTTTTTGTCTGCTTTATATAGTTCATAGCTATACATATGAGATTACAATTGTGCCCCTCAATGGGCCTATGTAAGATTACAATTGTGCCCCTGCCATATGAGCAACCCTGAGGGCATTTTGGTACATTTCAGGGGTCTTTATAGTCTTTTGGTATCAACTTGATGGAGTGGTTGAGTGGCCCCCGGGAATATTCTCTTGGTATCTTTATTGCTCAAATTGCCTTCTTCATGACAAGGAGCTTTTTCCACCACCAAAGGTCTTCTCCATGGCTGAGAGTCTTTTCCACGGAAAGTAGTCTTTTCCATCTCGACCACCCTTCCTGGCTTACTTGGTAGTTGACCTGTCATTAACTCAAGAAACAGTCAAAAGCGGATGATTTGGCTTAATGGCAGGAACTTGCTCGAATGGTGTTTTCCAACTCGAACGGCATTTTACCATTTCCCTGTTCGAATGACTCTTTGCCACTCGGATACTTTGAATAAATACTCAATCTTACTCAATCTCTTCCTCTATAGTGTTTTGGGCCGAATATGGAGGGATGGTGGTGACCCCCTGCTACAACAAGCCCCTCACGGGTAAGGGCGATGTGTGTTTTCGGCCGAAACCGTGTTCGAGTCAAAAGCTGGGGGAGATGTCCTCCTATTCGGTCGAAAAACACTAGGATAGAAAATTTTGAAGTTCAAAGGTGGTTATTTTTGTTAGTCATTATGCATTTATTTGTTTATTATATATATATATATTATTTATTATATGTACATTTTTTTTGTATAAATATTTACATTTATTATTATGCTTGTATGTGTGCCATGTGTCAGCTTTGCATTGGGTGACTGGAAAGAAACGCGCCGCTCCTCCCGGACCTATATAAGGTCTGCAAGGGTCGCTCTCAAACGGCTACTGTACCGTCCTCTACTGACTCAAATCCTTGTATTTGTTCGAAAACTCCCTTTTCACTCGAAAACACCCTTTTCGCTCGACGTTTCACTTTTCTTCGTGATGGGGAAAGATAAGCAAAAAACAACCAAAAAGGGCAAGTCAAAAAAGGTCAAAAAATCCGAGAAAAGTGCTATTCTTTTAGGCCCTTCGGCCATCAAAGACAAGCATTTGAATGACCTTGTCAAAAATGGGGTTATTTCTAACCGGAAATCCCTGGTTTGACCCGTTGGCGAATCAGATCCTTCTCCTAAGCCTGGATACACACTTGTCTTCGAAGATTTCTTTGAGGCCGGCTTTAGGTTTCCGTGCAGCTCCTTTTTTATCGACATTTTGAAGGTTTTCAAACTCGGGTTCCCACAACTCACCCCTAATGCGCTTGTGCGCGTTGGGATATTCAAATGGATGATTCGCAGCTGTGGCGGGAACCCTCATGCCGAAGATTTTGCATATTTCCATAGCATCAGCCGCTATACCAAGCAAAATTCCAAATTCGGTCGCCTCAACTTCTACCCTCATTCAAAACATGGATGTCCTTGGCCAGCTGTGCCCGCCATTCGAACTAAATGGGGGAACAAATGGCACTCTAAATGGTTTTACCATCAGATCCCTGCCGACCTGCTTGCCAACAAAGAGTGTCCTTTCACTTTCTCTTGCAAAACTGCTAAGGTTGTAGCCGAACCGTCAGTAGCCCTTACGGCGGATTTTCTTGCTATTCGTTCTCGAGTTGAGGAACTTGTTTCGAAATTTAGTGTTCGAGACTTGTTTGAAGAATTTGTTTGTCTTGGTATCCAGCCACTCACGGCCGGATGGAATATTTCCCTAGGGCAGGTGCCAAGCGAAGCCACTTCGACTTTGCCTCCCTTTGAAGTTGATCTGAACAGTAAGTTTTCATTTTTCCCTTGGTCTAACACATTCTTGTTGTTTATTAAGTTCGAATAATTTTGTTCGAGTATTTTGTACTTATGTATGTTTTTTGTTTGCTATAGCTGTTATCCCTGCAGACATTGTCTGCCCCTGCCAGACATATCTTGGTCCTTATACCAAAGATGAGCATGCGAAGTACCAATCTTTGCAAAATGGTTCAAGGATGAATCGAGTGTGTCTTCCCTTGGGCTCGAGATTCCTGCTCGAGTTCATCCTGAGATAGTCCCTGACTCGGGCAAGAAAAAGAAGAAGGCTGCGAGGAAATCGTCTTCCGATGAAGACGATGTTGAAGTTGAAGAAAATGAAGAAAATTCGGATAATGAGGGTAATGATGGGAATGAAGAGCTTGGGGAGAATGAAGAAAATGAGGGGAACGAGACTGGCGAAGATAGCTCGAGCAGTGACGACGACTCGAGTGATAGTTCGAGCGATGACTCGGATGAGTCGTCGGATGAGGAAACTGCCCTGGCCGTTCTTCCTGCCCAAGCCGCTCTGAGTGTCTTGAAGAGGAAAATTAACCCAAGCGGTTCCCTTCCGGGACCAAGTTCGAAAAGGATTCAAATCGTTGTTGACAGTGATGACTAGCTTGACGTAGAGAACATTCTGGTTGACGTGTGTGCCATAAACGTCACTCCTCTTCGAGCTGATGCTAGCCTTGTTGTTCCTGCTAGCACCGTCGCCCCTTTGGATGTGCTTGCGTCGGCTGCGACAGTGATTGAAAAAGAGGCTACCATCAATCCAGCTCAAACAACTGATTCAAGTGATTTTGTCCATGAAGATGACAAAATTCCTGCTGCTGAATTGCAAACCTCGGCCCTGGTAGCCCAAGACCTTGAAACTACGAGAAAGGTTGTCGAGGAAGCTGTTCGAACCGACCAAGTGGGAGAAAAAGATGATGAAGCACATTCTCCTCCTTTTCTGTCAACTCCTTCGCCCCAACTAATTCAAGATGTTCTCGGTGGATTTAGCGAGCGGTGCGCTAAAAATGGTCGATGGCTAATGGGTTTGCCCAATTTCTCCGACTTGGGAGAAAGTAGCCATCTTGGCTCGAACTTTTGCATAAACGACTTGAAGTACCATTGTCGTGACCCAAGGTCATGGACAAGATTGGGGATAGACGGGAAAACACCCTTTTCGCCTATCCTGAGAAATGAGCCCGAATACAAAATGAACACACACTGACTGACAATATTTTTAGTATTCCAATATGTCCTGTCTGCTACAGGCTTTTTGTCTGCTTTATATAGTTCATAGCTTTACATATGAGATTACAATTGGCCCTTAATTGGGTCCACATGAAATTACAATCGTGCCCATGCTAAATCAGCAGACCCTAAGGGCATTTTGGTACATTATGGAGGTCATTGTGGTCTTTTGGTGCCAGCTAGATGGAGTAGTTGAGTGGTCCCTGGGAATATTCTTTTGGTATCTTTATTGCCCAAGTTGCCTTCCTTATGACCAAGAGTCTTTTCCACCACTATGGGTCTTTTCCATGGCAAATAGTCTTTTCCATCTCGACCACCATTTCCGACTTACCCGGTAACTGACCTGTTATTTGAAAGTGCAGTAATCCCCCTAGTGGGTTTTGGTGATTAATGACAAATGTGGTTAAGGGACTAATGAGTTTATTGAGTAACTTTCAGGTGCATTAGTCCAAGGTGTGGAAGATGGATGCTTGGAGACCCCCCCCCCAAAGTACAAAATCAAAATGGACCGGAACTCGAGAAGTGCATAGGATAGTTTATCTATTGAAATCGAGTTTTTAGGAAAAACCGTACTATTAAGAGGGGTTCCAGGTGATGTTCTGAGATATATCAAGTGCTCTTAGTGTGAACCAAGTGTCAAGTTTCCCTAGGAGTCATTTTTACAAATACTCCATCTGTCCAAAAGTGCAAGTCCGGAACTTCCTGTCTTCTAGGTCCGGAAGTTCCGGTCTTGTGAAAAAGCATCTACACTACCTTTACTAACCCAAATAATTTTGTTTTATTTTTTTTGTCCAATCCCCTATTGTTAACGACCGAATTTGGTAAATTCTGCATTGGAAAAGA